AACTCTTTACAGTGATGAGATTTTGAAAAGATATTTGGCACATATGTAGAGCTGATATAGCTCTATAAAGTTACCAGTCAGATTTTTTAAAACCCCTTAGATAAAAAGTTATAACCATTTAAAAATTGAAACACTTTGTGTAACTGTTGAGTATAGATTTCCTGCACCATATTAATAATATAGTTAATATATAACTTATCGCATACGCATGATTTGTACTACAAAGGTTGGCCAGCCAATAATAAAATAGGCCTAACACACGTGATATTGTCTATCGGAGCATGCGAAGTTCATTTAATATTTTCAGCATGTCAATAGTTAGTATATAATAGCTCGTCATAATATAATACAAAATGCTATAACTGTTAATAAATTGATAAAAGATTAAATGAAACGAAAAAAAAATAACAAACTGTTAAACACTTTAAACATATACTCTTAAATATGTTAATAAATGTCTATCAAATCATGCCTGATAACCAATGGCAGCCAATTGTTATTACTTTTAAATTAAAAAAAAAATTTTATAAATGATAAATATATAACAACATCACAAAACACAGGTTCGAAATAAACATTGCTTTAATAAATATTGACGTTAAATTTTTCGCCTTTATTCCAATTAAAGTTATAAGAATTCCCATCATCTGGTGTACCGTACATATCAAATGTATCATCAGAATAAAGGAACGCAATGGCATTGCCTATGTCTGATGACCAAATTCTTATTTTTTTTCAGATGTGCATGAATTTTTTCTCATATAATATAAAATTTTATCTACATAGATCATACAATATTTAAATATCAAAGGAATTCTCTGAAGTAATAAAAGACAAGCAGAATAGGAATGTCGAGCAGAATTGCGTGAAACAATTTGACGCCAGGATTTTTGAGCATCCTCAATAGTGTTTTGAAAATGGATCAAAAAGGTGATTCTCAAGATCTGGAATATTGATGTAAGCATTTCTGATATTATCATGGAAGGTGCTAATCAATTAAGTAAAAAATTATACAATAATTGTTCATTTCATACAGAAGAAGAAAAGAAAAGGTGAATTAAAAAATAAATATGCATGTAGATTGCCCAACCTTCGAATAATACAATCATAATGCCACATTAACGTGATAACAGTATAACTCAAATTCCGATTGTTATCTTTAGCGGCTTTACGCGTAAGAAATCAATTTAGAGGCATATAAAGCTGACCCAGTAGCTTGATAAGAATATGTTTATTTCCGTGGAATTTCGGTTTTTAGAGCGTTTTAATAATTTACTTGCACAGATCCATTCATATTTCAAAGAAGAAAGTGTACGTAGTGTTCCGAATAATCCGGACCCGACGGATTCGGATTATCATTCAATCTGAACCGTAAAATCAGGTTGGGTCAAAAGTTTCGGATTGCTCGGATTAAGCCTAATTTTGAGATTCACATTTCACTAATATATAAATTCCAAGTTATTACAGCTGTTTTCATAAATTCTGGAAATTACCAATGACCGAATCGATAAGTTACCGAGTCAGGATCAATAAGTAACTGATTTCGGCCTAACTCGAAAACTTATCGATTCGGTCATCGGCAAATGAAACCAGCTATAAATACTTCGGATTGGCTTCGGATTCAAACCGAAGTTTCTGATTAAGTCGGTTTAGGTTCAATCCCGGATCAAACCGAGTTTTTTAATCCAAATCGGAACACTAAGTGTACGAGAAAAAAAAAGCTTCTCCTATAAGTGTAACGGGAACCTAGGTCAAGAGCTAATACTTATGAAAAAAAAAGTGAAAATTGGTAATAAAAATATACACAAGCAAATTGATAAAAAAAAAGTAATTCGTAATATTACTTGTACTCTGGAATTTAATTAGCGAAAGGTTTTACACTCGAATGTAATTATTACTGGTTCGAAAAAAAAAAAAAAAAAAAGTTTTTTTTGCAGAAACAGTTTTTGGTTTTGTTGATGCAGCGCCATTAGCATCAACACCTCGTTTAATCTTGTTCTCTTTGTAATAAGTATACCGTCTGTATCTTTATGTCTAACAATATTTCGAGTAATTTTAATCAAGTAGGAATCAAAGTTCTTCCTTATCCATTCTTCGAAGGCATCTTCAATTTCTTTAATTAAATAGTATGCCTCACAAGTAAGTTGCACATCACCATATTCCAGACCATTGTGAACCATTTTAACATAATGTCCTGCCGACCCAAACATGTGGTTTGTTATCAGCATTAGTAGCAATACTTAAAAGTGCTTCCTGCTTATGAAAAAAATTGTAAAAATGTTTAAATCATACTATATACATGATTATATATTTAATAATTCAAACATACCAAGCAAATGGAGAACATTAGGCATAACAGATATGTGGTACTATTAAGTCTTAAATTTTTCGCTATGCATAAGGGTTGAGTATATAGACTGTTGTTAATTTTTGCTTAATTTTCAGCCTTCCAGTGGAAATTTGTATTAGTAAAAGTAAAAGTTTCAGTAGTACTATTAATTTTCTTCCAGTAAAGTTCCAGTTGTTAATAACATTAATATAGACGTTCACAACTGTAAGAACAAAGCATGTAAGAATGTTCAAGCAAGTGGCGCTATTTAAGTCTGAGGTTTTCGCTATGCGTAAGGGCAAGTTTGTAGGAAAGGACTATATTGATACTACTCTCACTACATGAGACACTATGGCTAATAAACCGGATCTAAATATTTGCCTTTGCGAAGTGAATGGATGCTACTTGAATTAAACAGCGTTGGCAATTGTGAATTTGGAAAATGCCACGTTCACCCAAGGAACCCTTTTTTTATTTTACTAAGATAACTGCTCTTGTAAATTATATGTCCAAATGAAATTTTTTATTGAGCATAGTCCTGTAGTCCAAAAGTATATCGATATAGAAGTCATTATATCTGATAATCTCAGAATTCTTCTGATTGGCTAGTGTAGATCAATTGCAGTGAGAGATATTACTGTAACTTCTAGTATATAATTATTAAGAGAAGTTATAAAGAACCATTAGAAGTTGAAGAAAAGGTTAACTTGGTAAAAAAATAACTTTGTATATAGCAGCTATATTGTACTGTAGATTGAACTTTATTATAAAATTAATAAATTTTTTATGTGCTAATTACACTTAATAACAAAAAAAGTTATATACAATATCTTAAAATAAAATACCTAATAAATCAAAATTTATTTTAAACTACAATACTGGTATAGTATCTGGTATATATATACATTATATATATTAAATACCGTATAATATATTTTTAAACATTAAACCCATATGATTAAATATACAAAATTAAGAATATAACAAGTAATAAATTAGATTGTATATACTACGTATAAATAAAAAAAAACCAATTATACTATATTTTTCTTTTTCAAAATTCTTTTGCTAATAACTTTGTAGTAATATTTCATTAGTTTACTCATAAATAATAAGTTTTTTTTTGTTTTAAATTAAAAAAAAATTTTAAAATTATTTTTTCAAGGTATAAAACCAAGAAAAAACAAACTTGTCGAAATTTTATTTTTTTTGATTATAAAGTTCATTTGTTAAAAAAGAAGCATTGCAATTAAAATTCGCTTCATTCCTTGATAAAAAAAAGTCCTTTTCTTATTGCACAGTTAATTATCCAAAGCATATTATACTATTAACCACATTTTAATTGTTTTTTTGAATTACATTTGATTTTCAACAATCTTTTAAAAATATTATTCACTAAAAAAATATTACTACCTTCTACCACCACGACCCGATTGAGATTGAGCTTGTTGCATCATAGAATTTATTCCTTCTTCCTGTGATATCGATTGTCTTCTTGCTTCATCAACTAATCTATTATGTGATGCATTATTGTATGGATATGATAATCCGTTACCTGGCGGACTACCGAATGGCACTACTCATCGTAACGTAAAAAAAAAAAAAAATCAATAAAAAAACCTTACAATATCATTATCACAATTTAAATAATTAAATCAATCATACCAAACCATAACCACCATTTATCACCCATGACCAATTTCCAATTTTGTTTCCACCCCAAACTCCATATATTTTCACCAGGCCTTGTAGTTGCAACACCATAATTTAAAGGATTTTCAGGATCAAATTGTACTCTAACATTATATGTTCTAGTTCTAAATGAAAGAGTTTCAATTGTTGTACGATTTTGTAATACATAAGCAGTATGAACTAGACTGAAACCCGTTAGTAGAAGACCGAATATGAAACCACTTTTAAAAAGGGAAATTGAGGGAATTAAAAAAGAAAAGTAAAAAAGAAAAGAATAAATGAAATTGAATAAAAATTGATTTTAATAAATTATAATTATATACTTACAGTACGGCAGTTATTATAAAATTTATGTTAAAATCTTTCTATCGATAAATAGAAATGAATTAGCAAGTATTTATTAACGAAAATATTTAATATATAAATATATATAGAATGAATTATGAAGAAAACCTTTTCTGGACTTTGGTATTGGTTAACTATAATAGGTATTGTTGCGGCCAAGGTAAAATCAGCATAAATAGCAGTATACGCTATGAATAGGTAAAAGTATTTGTAATTTCTGAAACCTATACATCCACTCACCCTAATTTAAACAGAAATGAATAGAATTGATGAAATTGAGATATAAGTATCAAAATGGTATTATGATCAATATAGAATATCATTATAGAAAATGTACATACCACGGGCAATGACTAAATAATGATAAAATTAAATTAAATTAAATTAATAATAATAATAATAATGATGATAATAATGATTAAGAATAATATATATAATAATATATATATACATACTGATCCATTTTCAGTATGCAGCGATTACATTCCGAACAATGATGACATCGATCGGGTTTAACATAATTACAAACTTCACACCACCTTACTCTTCCATCTCTTTTACATACAAAAGTACTTGGCATTGGAATAACTACACTAGTAGGTTGATCTATAGTATGTACTGAAGAAGAAGCCATAACATTTGTTGTTGTAGCAGCAGTTGTTGGTTGTCCTTTAATAGGAGCGCTTTCTTCTGGTAATAAAGCATCCGCATTTGAAGTATTATTAGGATTAGTTGCAGGATTGAAACGATGTATAGTAAATGAAGTAGGAATTTGATATTTATTAGATATTGTTGAAGAAGGTAGAGATTTTGGTGAAGATATTGGACTCGTTTCAGTATTTTCAGTATTTTCATTATTTGATTGTTGTGGTAAAGTAGTATCTGGTTTAGGACCTGTTGGCTAATCAAATTATCGTAATAAATATTTATAATATACTAATGAAAGATAAAAGATAAAGGATGTAAAAAAAGTATGAATATAAACTTACGGGAGATCCAGGTCTTCGAGATAGTACTCGGAAGTAAGACAAAATTGTCATAAAAAAAAATATGCAAAAGAACACTAGGTAGATAACTTTTTATAATTAAAAAAAAAAAAAAGTTAAAATGACTAGAATGACTAGAATGACTAGAATGACTAGAATGACGTGTATTAAATTAAATAACATACTAGCTTGGGCAATCAATTGCTTTTCTCCAATTAGTTTATCAACTATAGAAGAAAAAAAAAAATTGAAATGAGAATAATGATCACTTTTTTTATTAGATAAAAATTGAAAAAAATTTATTCAAAATTTTAAATTTACACGGGTCGATAAATTTTTTCTTTCGAGTAAAGACCTATTTCATACAACCAAAATATCGACCATACACTTGTTACTAAAGCTAAACGCGTAATACCCTTCCTTTGTCTTTTTTAATATAATAATATTCCAAGTTATTATAACCTTATTCTTTTACGTACCACATATTAGAAATACGAACACGTAAAAAGTATATCCCAATAGTGTTAACACAACTATTGGCATAAATCTTCCAATAAATATTGTCACAGAAGGCATTACTATGTATATCCATAAACCGTCGTTTATGAGTAAAGAGAATTATTATATATACAAGTAGTAGTATAAAATAAATTTTAATAATGATTGTATTTAAGAGTTTAAAAGAAATAAGGAAAGAAAATTATGAAAAAAATAACCCGGGGAAAAAAGGAAGAGAGAGGGGTAAGAAAAAAAATCAAATATTAACGTGACTTTTTTTATAATAAAATTTGTGATTTTTTGAAATATAAAAAAAAAAAAGTGTATTTTAATATATTTTTTAATAACAAACAATTATTTATGACCAATTGATGACATTACAAAAAGAAAATGATGTAAATAATACTATTTATAAAAGTTTCAAGATATTTATCAGTACTATCGTTGAGGGGGACAAAGTAAACATGCAGTAAACGAAGAGAAATTTGACAAAAAAAAAGGGATAAGACAGAATATTTATACAAAGTTTTTATTACAAAAATAGTAAAATAAAAAATACATAATATGATGAATTCAGTATATATATGATCGAAGTACGAACCTTAAAAAAATTATTACATACCACTAATAACCAAATTATATGAAGCGTAGCATACAACCTGCAGGTTTAGCATATAGACAGGGAATTACTAAATGCATTTATAACAGTAAAAAAAAAAAAGAAATATATAATATATAATAATATAAAATAGAACAGTATATAATAATAATATATTGTATACATATACTTTAAAAAGATAGGGTAATTAAAAATTTTGTAATAAATAGAGAAAATTAAATAAACTACCATTTTTTTCCTTAACATAACTGGATTAGGGGATTTACCTGATAATTTCTTGTTATTTAGTATACATTATCGTAATGGTAAGTATAAATTTTTTTTTCTAGAGCAAAATTCTTAAAAGGTAACAATTTACCGGCGTAAATCACTGTATTACTGTATTACACAAATGGTTTCTGTGCACAATTCGAGGAAATACTTTTAGGTAACATACACTAATCAAATTTGATTAACATACATAAAAGAAACGTCAAACCAATCAAGATTACTTGATGTGGATCACATATTAAATAATAATTTTCGTTTTACAACACCAATATTTATGATATATTAATTAGAATGATTAGAATGATTTAGAATGATTAGAAATCATTAAATTTTATTATAATTATTACAGTACGTATTACTGTATTATATATAATATATAATGAATATAATGAATATAATGTAATAATGTTAGCGCATAATATTATCAAACTATTACATATAATATCTGATATATACCAATACATATTCAATATTCAATATGTATACAGTATATAATAGTACATATATAATAAATAATTTAATAAATTTTTGATGTCGGCAAATTTCGAGATAATTAGATAATTAAAAGATAATTAGGATAATTAAAATTTTTTGTTTATATAGTAATTACGCACACACCAGTTCTCAATTTACAAACAGGTTATCAAAGTTACGAGACATCTGAAAGTGTCACCAATAAAAAAAAAAAACCTGTTGTTATGCATGGTTTCTTTCTGCTTTTATCTTTTATGATCTAATGATCTTTTATCGTGTAAAACCTAATTTTTTAAATTCGATAAGCAGCGATCATATTGATTTATCGGGAAGTCATGATATAATAATACTGTAAGTATCTATTACGTACGTATCTCGTTTTTTTGTTAGTAGTTACGTAGTCTTAATTTTTTTTTCAAAACATGACTAAATTTGTACTATATTTTTTAATCATGTTGATTGTAAAATTTCCTATAACGGTCTTTTCATACACGGAGAAACATTAACCTTTATTCTTTCTCCTTTATCTTAAATGTAACCTTCATTTAATAAATAATGTGTTATGTAATTGTACAAAATTAGAAATTGCATAAACAAACCTATAAGTACTCCGAATTTATTAATATTCTTATAACTCTAAAAAAAATATATATATTGTATATGTTGTATATATTGTAAGTATTTGTCATTTTTTACTGGATCCGTATCCTCTAAAGATTTCATTTAAAATTTCCTTTTCAACAAATCTCCAAGCTTTTAAAAATTCCAAATTTTGCCATCCCCAAGTTACCAAATCTTGAATTTTTTTCGGATCTTGTTCATTACGATGAATTTCAAATAATTCTCTTGCGTTATAACAAAGCTTTGGAGATAGATACCGAAATGGTAGTGTGGGTGAGCGAAGATAACGAAGAGTATGACGGTATAAATGTAAAGGGTTGGTAGATGATTAATTATATGACCTGGCCAATCAGATTCGAGTACTAGACTGTATCTGTTATTGACTAACTTTTTATGTACGGTATCACTTTTTAGAAAGTGGTTAAGTTTTAAAAAAAATCAACCGATTATCAATATCAGATATAGCAAATTTTGTGGTTCATTGATGTCTTAACGTTAATGTTAACTCATTGAGATTCATTCATTAATACACTATCTAGTACTTATAATACCTGATACGTATACTGATACGTACTGTAACAGAATCAATAATCAATACATACCTTGCATAGATCTGTAGTGCATATTCGAAATATCTGTATATCAATATCTTAATTTATTGATTTTTAAAAATTAGATTTTCTAAAAAATTCTGAAATTTAAGGAAAATTTTATAGGCTTTAAATAAGGGTGCTCTCAAGCGCCTCAATCAATAGATCGGTGTATAAATTTTAATTAATAAAAATTAGTTCAGCCGGTCAAGAAAGTTTATCACCGCAGTCAAAAAAAAAAGATGGTTAACCATCTTTTTTTCTTTATAGAGCTGCGCTGATTGGCCAAAATTTATTATAGAGTGAGATTATTCAAGCACTTTATGATCAAATCATTATTCAAACCATAATTTTTTTATGATCGAACTATTATTTTTTTTTTTATGATCAAATCTTTTTTTTTTTTTTTTACGATCGAATCATTATTTTTTTTTTTATAATCAAATCTTTTTTTTTTTTCACGATCGAATCATTATACTTTACACTAAATACACTTCTAACAATATGGATCTTCACCGTCATCCACAAATTACTTTTTTACTCTTCGTGCTAGAAACTTTCATAACAAACAAAAAAATATCAAGAAACCCCAAAAAAAATAACCGACAATTGTTATCTTCGGATGATGTCTATCGATTATTTGGTTTATTTCTGAAATAGTATTAGCTCATCTACAACTTGTAAATTTTCTTGACTACTATTAGTAGTAGAAGTTTGATTATTGTCACTAATGGATAACTTTAAAAGAGATACCTAAAAAAAATTTTTATTAATTCTTTATAAAAAATTACAAATTTAAATAAAATTCAATATATACCTCTTCATATTCGCTATTAATTCTATTTAAAACTAAAGGATTAAATAGTGGCGCAGAAGAATAATGTTGTTATAACAAGCATAGGATAATTTGTTAAATCCGTAAAAGGAACAACAGGAGTATTGTAATTAGGCGAAGGGATAATAGAACTATTTAGAATTGCTAAAGAAGTAGCAGAAACACTTGAGGTAGTTGGAACAGATACATTTGAAGTTGTCGGTAATGGTAATATATTTTTTTGTTTGTTAAACGGTTGCTTTTTTTTATTTTGTAATATTAAAAGAGTTCACTCAATTATTGATCGCAATCTTTATATTCATTGATTGTAATGATTGTGCGTCATCTCAATCACACTCAGGAAGATGCTTGAGAGCACCCTAAATGTCAGAATCAACTAATATCCCATCTGTCATTATTTTTTGTAAATAATACTGATACAGATTTATTTTTGTTGATTACCTCTTAACGGTATTAGACAGACATTATAGTTTTCTATTATGTATTTTTAAAAAATGAGGTATTGGCTTACTAATTATTCGAATTTTTTCAAATAATAAATTCGGGGTTATCCGGTTATTCCGATAATATATATATATGTATAAGACTATGCGCATTTTTGGTAAGCTGTATGTCATAATGAAGAGAGTTTCCATACAATACCTTGAATATCTGTCGGTTATTCACGGATGAATAAATAGATTCTGGTTTATCTTATTAACAAACCATCTCTATATTATAAATCGAAGATGTCCCGTTAACTATTTGCTAGTAATAAGAATCATCCATCATTCAGAAGACGAATCGGATGGCGCCAATTTTGATTACTGAATCACGAGGTAAAGATGATCGTAACACATCAATACCAAGTTTTGCATAACCTTAGTACAGTTATTTGCAGTAGCAATAAATGAATAACTGGATTTTGATCGTGTTATAACTTTTAGTAACTATTGAAAGTTTTTGTCTTTGGTATCTGTAATTAATAATAACACTATCTAGAAACTCGAATTTTATGCGATGCAATGCGTATAATGGGGCATTGCCGATAAGAAGCATAAATTGCTGACGAGAAGCATAATACGCCCCAAACTTAACCTATGCCAAGTTAAAACAACGAAAAAATCTTCCTTCGCAAGAACTTTAAAAAAAAGAACAAACCGTTTTAAAAAACTATAATGAAATGATTTGTTTACTGTATTACATAAAAATTTATTACGAATGTCGAGAGTTTTATTACGTATTAAGCATTGAATTTAACGATACGTATAAATCAAAGTAGTAATGCGTTATAATAATTGATAATACGTACTAAAAAGCAATATACGTACGTACGTACGTATGTAAGTGATAAAATTTTTTCAAATTTTGTCACACATAGGCAATCTAAAATGTAAATAATGATAAGCCAGTTATAGTTTATCTAAAGAATCTTGTCCATTTTTCGAGCATAGGATTATTTCCCCCCAAAAAAAGCGATTATACGTATTTGGTTTTGTGCTGTTTTCTATGCTCCATTTTTACCTAGCTTCGTGACAT